CTAGGAGCTGGTTCCAGAGAAGAGGGGCCTAAAAACTGAAGGCTTTGCCTTCCATTCTATCTTTAAATAACCTAAAAACCACATATAAGGCAGCAGGCCAAGAGTGGAGTGCTCTATGATTGATTTGACGCTATACAGGGCTCTAGAATGCGACCAATTTGGTCGGAAATACAACCTAATTTCTCAATGGTTCGACAAAAAAAAATCCTACGTTGTTGGAGCATTACGGCTACTGTAGTCAGGAGCGTCGCAGATTAATACGTACTGTGCTTCAACATAATATTACTATATTCTGTTTATTGTGCACCCCAAAAATGGCACCTGTTAAGAGACATGCTTACAAAGCGGATTTCAAACTCTTATCAGTCACTAAGTAGAACATGAGAATAAAGCAGCTGCGAGAGAATTCAACATTCATGAATCAATGGTATAGAAGTGGAGGAAGCAAGAAGAATGAGTTGACTAAAGTTCATAATCCGGTGTGTCTTATGGTCCAAAAAATACGGTAATTTATCTTCCTTGTAGAAATGTGCTCCAAATAAAGAACGTTGTGTTGACAAGACTGTTAGTTAATCATTTACAAATTAATATTGTCAGTAAGGACAGCAATTTTTAAAAAAAATGAACATCTAAAGTTGCGTTGTTAAGTGATGTGGTTGAAAAATTTAGGTGCACCTAATTTTTGCGCTGGTGCACCTAAGACAGAAAGATAAAATTGCACAGCAGCAGTGTGTGTATATGCTTTCTAATGATACTCCCTAAGGGAAGCATGCATAATGTAAACCATATTGGTCCTGGCATGGAACCCTGAGTAACTCCAGAAATAAACTTAATGCTTGAAGAGGACTATATATTTAAATGAAAAATTCTGAGCCTGTTACATGTGACTGACACCACCGCAGCCTTTAATTTCTATGGTATGCTCTAATTTCTGTAACAAAATATTGTGGTCAACAGTATCGAATTCTGCACTGAGCAGTGGGACAAGCACAGAGACGTGCCACTGCCAGAGGCCATGAGAAGATCATTTATAACCCCTACTAATGCTTTTTTGTACTGTGATGAATTCTGAAACCTGAGTGAAACTCTTCAAATAAACAATTTCTCTAAAGATGATCAGTTATCCGTTTTACAACTACTTAAAGATTTTTTGAGATTAAAAGGAAGGTTGGAAATTGGCCCCTAGCTGGATAAAGTGATGGCCTTTTAAGTAATGGTTGAGTTACTCCCAGCTTAAAGGCCTTTGGTACGTAGCCCATTAATAGATATAGGTTGATCATATTTAAAATTAAGATATATGTCGCAATGGCATGACATCTTTGAGTTGTAGGAAGCAATTACTGAAGATCAGCTGGAGAAAGACAGATAGAAATCAGATAGAATCAGATATGAACTCTGAGTGTGGACCAGGCGGACAATAGATAGACAACAACTAAAAACAGATTTTCGAGTTTTCCAGTCAGGATGCACGAGGCTAAGTGTCAGGCTTTAAAAATTAATTAAAACTCTGATGTATGGTTAAGGTGGAGTAGTGGAGATTGCTGTCACTCCCTCACCCCAGCCTGTGCTATCAGTTAGTATTAGTCAGGCATGTTAATTCATTTAAACTAACATAATCATCCTGCTGTAACCCAGTTTATGTAAAGCAGAGTAAATCAATATGTTGATGAATTATTAATTAATTTACTAACATGGACTTAGAAGAGAGATATCTGATGTTAATCCACAACAGTTTTTTTTTCATTGCAGTTTTGAATAGTATATTGTTACTTTTTTGTGATTTTTTTTAAATGTTTAAATCATTTATTTTTTGCTGATGTTTGGTTTGTTTTTGGTGGCCTGTGAGCAGATAGTGTCTATGGGGATGGAGTTGATAACATGGTTTGTTAAATGTGGTAACAAGAGGAGAGAAGCTGCAGAGAGGTGTGTGTAACTCTGCAACTCTGCTTCCGGGTCCCAACTCTGTACAGTCTTTTTTTTTTTTGTTATGTGATATTTGTTATTTTTTGTTTTTTTGTTTTGTTGTTGTTGATTTTTTTGGGGGGAGGGCAGGCTGCTACATCCAAAGTGAAATGGATGTAATCGTTCCTAAGACCAGTTTTTCCAGAGAAACTTTTCCAGTCATCAATAAAGCTCAAATTGGTTTTAGACAGTCAGCAATTTTGGGAGAACATGCCAAATATCTCACACATGGTCCAGTTTGGGTGGGGACCAGAAAAAACTGCAGAGTCCGGTAGGGCTGGGCCATACCGTTCACGGTAATACCGGGCAACAATGTCATAATGTCGGGCAACAATAAGAAAATGAAATATCGTGATAGAATATGGGTAAAACCCGCATGCGCAGTGCCTTTGTTTTCATACGCAAATGGCAGAAAAAGCGTGCCGGCAACAGAGAATGAGAAGGGCGAAAGCGGATCGGTGAATGAAACGGATGAAACAGAATTGGTTCTATGTTGCAACTTCAGTGGTGTCGCACTGTTTTAGCTTTCGTCCGTCAGATACACAACAAAGCACTATTTTTGGTAGCGCATGCTAGCGGGCCGTCGTTATTACCATGTTTTTTGGAAAATATGGCACACTTAAAATCAATCCTTTGAGTTTTCTGAAAATCGACAGTGCCCCTTATAATCCCATGTGCCTTATGTATGAATTCTGGTTGTGTTTACTGAATTCGAAACGATTATTTGTGGTACACGGTGCTGGAAAATGTTTTAATACGACTTTGCTAAGCTACGAACGGAGTGATACGCACTGTGCTTCAACATAATATTACCGTATTGTGTGTGTATAACCTCTTTTTAAATATATATATGGTTATGCTGAGGATATGTCGGCCAATTTCCACTGGAAATGCCTTTTGGTTAAACTGTCAGCAAGGATTTTGCATTTGCACTGTTAAATTTTTATATAACTTTAATGCACATAAAAAACAGCTGCTTTTTTAATTGATTTTTTTTTTTTTTTGCACGCATAAAGTTGTGGAGTTGTAAAGTATTTTGCCTAGTGTCAGTTATATCGTCACTTATATCGTTAATTATATTGTTATCGCAAATTTTCAAATGTATATCGTGATAAATATTTTTGGTAATATCGCCCTGCTCTAGAGTCCGGCATTGTTGTAGCAAAGTTGCACACTGATTCAATGTTAATTTTACTTGCCTGCAATTGACATTCTTGCCAACATGAATTATATATTTTTGCAGAATTTACATTTGTCGTTAGCCAGCATTTTCAGGGTTCCTTCAGTGCCGTGGAAGATAATTCCCTCGCTCGTGTTGGTGCTGAAAGACATTGTATTCATTTTTCAATGCTGCTCTGAGAAACACATTATATGACAGAAATAGTGATCTTGATGATGATGATATTCAGTGCCACTAATGAGCATTATCACGGTCTGATGATCTTTCTTTGCAGTGAACAGTATTGATTGTGAAACAGTGCCCATAAATGAGAAGACCCTGGAGGATCTAGGCCCAAGTGGGCCTAAACCCATCCTGCCTTACAGTTCAATGTTCATCTTTGGACAGACCAATCCGTGAGTTCTGAGCTCTGCTTCCTCCCTCCATATGGTTATAAGGTGCTACCACACTGAGCCATCACAACATCCTGTGAATGTTAGCCAGTGTAGCTCTTGGGTGGTATTTTATTTCATATCTGTAAAAAATAACATATTGCATGTCTTACTAAAAGCCAATCTCATGGTACAGATGAGTGCTGACAGGCACCAGTTGTATATAGCATTTTAACACTGCTGGAGTGTGGGAAGGGACAAGAACAGTGAAGCAACAGCAAGTACTTACTTCTTTTTTCTTGGCCTCTTTTTCCTCAGGGTGAGGCGGTTGTGTCACTATATTGTGACTCTGCGTTATTTTGAGATGTCCATCCTGGTTGTCATTGCGATGAGCAGTATTGCTCTGGCAGCAGAGGACCCTGTCTGGACTAATGCACCCCGCAACAATGTGAGACACAGAGTACACAGTAATAAAACTACATACAATACCCACTGTACTCATACAGAACTGAGAGAAGTATATTTTCTTATCTTTTCTTCTGCCTGAGTCAGGTTTTTTAATATACATTTATATATATTTTTTGTCTGTGTGTGGCGCCTAAAAATGGGGCCATACATCTATGATAGATTATTATATACTGGATTATTACGCAAGTAGAACTATTTCAGAATAGTATCTACAGTTTCTTTTCTACTTTGTTGTCTTTGTCAGTAATAATCGAGTCTTTTTACAGGTGCTCAAATATCTGGACTATGCCTTTACTGGTGTTTTCACTTTTGAAATGGTGATCAAGGTAAACACTAATACCATTTGAAATTCACTATTGTTCACTGTATTTAGTATGTGTTTTCATTATATTTTATCAGAAGCAAACTGGTGAGTCATTTCAGTTTTTACTTGCAGAAACCAAATAAGTAATACTATAATACGATACTGAGGCAGGAATGTACCTCACTGTGACCAGTGCAGTTCACTCAGTATATCTGCTGTGTTATGGTTCTTATATGTATAATCCACAGTATTTCAATCTGACAGTGTTCTGTCAGTGAGAAATTTAACACCATATTTAATCGCATTTCAATATTCATTTAAATCTGCAGTTCATGACTTTTGTCTTACTCTTCTGCCAGCGAGAGTGATTACACTGCTGTCTCTAACATTTTTTTGTTATTTTTTTATTTTTTGTCATACACTATTACCATTGTAATAGTGGATACTCATTATCAGCAAAAGTATAAACAGAAGAAAGTCCTTATAACAGTTGATTTTAATAGGTAATTTTAAGTTAAACAAAATAAGCAAAAGAACATAAATTACCTGTTCTTGGTTTAGATGGTAGACCTGGGGCTATTGCTTCATCCTGGATCCTACTTCAGAGACCTGTGGAACATCCTGGACTTCATAGTGGTCAGTGGGGCACTGGTGGCATTTGCTTTTTCGTAAGTTCCACAGCTTCTGTCTTTCTGTGATAAAATGAGACATTTACAGATATTGTTAATCCTGAATCTGGTGTGTTATGTGCAATATACATCAAATACCACACTACACTGAGAGATGACATATAATTTAAATGATAGTGCGTACCTTTGGTTAGCCAAATATACAGTCATAGCTACAGTCAAGTTTTGATAGTGGCAAAAACTGTGTTTTATATACTGTACTGGTTCAGTTTTCATTTAATTATTTTTACATGTTTCTAAGTGAAGAACAATCATTTACATTTCATGTTTTGCTTGTTTACCTGTTTTTTTAAAGATTCTCTTAGGTATGGATCCAAAATGTTAGTTTGATGCTCTCTCAGCCACTTAGTTATCACTAAGTACAGATTCACATAATTTCAGCAAATTGTTTCTTATTCACTGGAAGTGGTTGGACAATCGAAAAGCTCACAAACTGATCAACTCTGAGCACTGATAAGGCAGGATTGAGTCACCTTTATTCAGGTTTTGGTCCAGAAGCTGATATTGAGCATGCCACAGCAAACTGGAGAAATTATAAAGAAGAGGTGTCATAACTATAAGTACTGTCTCTTTGCATGAATTTGATTGTTTGTTTGTTTTTTGCCAAGGAACTCTTTGAAGCTTATGAAATGATTGCGATTATTTTTCACTATATCATTGAAACAAATGGCAAAATGTATGAAACACAAAATTTGTTCCTGTGCCAAAACGTTTGCCTTGACCACAAACACTATACACATACACTAACCTTACAAAAGCAGATGACCTCTTTATGTATGTGTGAGAGGTGTGTATGAGAGTGTGTGTGTGTGTGTGTGTTATGATATTGTACAATGTGCTAATTTACATAATCCTCTCCCTGTTTCTGTCCTGTTATCGTTTTGAAGGAGCTTCATGGGGTAATGCCTCCTCTACCTCTCTCATCTTGCCTGTTTGTGTCATTATCAGTGTGTATGTATGTGAGAAAGAAAACATACATGGCTTACACTGCAAAAACAAGTAATTTCCTCACATACTCGGTCTTACTTCTTGACATCTAGGTCACAAAGTATAAAGAAATTAAAGTTAAAATTAAAGTCAAATAATCTAAATTTGTCTTTTTTAATACACCAACAACAATCTACCCTGTTTACTATATGGAAATGTATTTGGCCACAATTCTATGAGGGAAACCGGACAAACACAATTTTCAAACTGTATAGAAATTTAAGCCAATACATTTTTCAGCATCCTTTTGTGAGTAAGATTAAATTAACTGCTAACAAAAATATTTTTCTGTTAAAATTGCCCACTTGTTTTGAATCATGCCAGAAGCTAGGGCAAATCCATTTTACACAGAACACAGTTATATTAAAAAGATTGTAAAATAGTGATTGTTGAAGGAAACAATCAGCAATGTCAGAATGACAAATTACCACCCTTATCTGTTTTGTTTTATTTTCTTTTGTTTGTTTGTTTTTGTTTAAGCAGTAAGCAGTATATGTAGTGAAATTGCTTGTGAGAATGTATCTTTTTGGCAGTGTGTAATGTTTTGTTTGGGACACACGCATCTGGTCCACCAGCTATTCATGCGTCATGCAGATTGAGAACCTGGTTCCAGCAGTGTATCGTGTTGCTTGGCATCAGGTCCTTGCTCTATAGCCATTTGTGCTATTTGGGGACATGGCACGATAGTGCTCATATCTCGTATCTTCCCTGAGCCTTTGAGAGGTGTTTTTATCAGCACTGTGTTTTGCCACAGCTTTGGTTAGACTGGAATGATCACATTAATTTCATATTAATTGTTCAGCAGAGACTTGTTAACATTACAAGAAAACTGGTGCCAGTGGGCACGAGTAGTCGTCAGAGAATATTGAGCTCGTAGCATGCGGATTAGAGTGTGCATGCTAGTACCATGTGACTGTATGCGTGCTCGTAAATAGAGGTGTTAAATGACATTCCTGTGACTGTAGTGTCACATGATTTCCATCTACACCGAAATGATAGGCAGTACTTTGCAAAGGTCTTGAGCCTGCCTTATTTCTTCATATTTTAAACGTAGATAAAAATTGGTGCAATGTCTTATATTAAATCATGTGGACATATACATTGAAATACAGTATATAAGTACACAGTGGGATGCAAAGGTTTGGGCAACCTTGTTAATAGTCATTATTTCCCTGTATAAATCGTTGGTTGTTACAATAAAAAATGTCAGTTAAATATATCATATAGGAGACACACAGTGATATTTGAGGAGTGAGATAAAGTTTATTAGATTTACAGAAAGTGTGCGATAATTGTTTAAACAAAATCAGGCAGGTGCATAAATTTGGGCACTGTTGTCATTTTATTGATTCCAAAACCTTTAGAACTATTTATTGGAACTCAAATTGGCTTGGTAAGCTCAGTGACCCCTGACCTACATACACAGGTGAATCCAATAATGAGAAAGAGTATTTAAGGGGGTCAATTGTAAGTTTCCCTCCTCTTTTAATGTTCTCTGAAGAGTACACGCACACACACGCACACATCCTCCAACCACACACACCCATATTTTGCTCCATTGCGGTTTCTTTCACACCTCAAACATTTAGTAAACAATTAAGCAAATACAAGTAATCTGCGATAAATTGCAGGTAGTAAGAAAATAAACTACTAACTCTTTTACGCTACATCCGCACCTACACGAGTATTTTTGAAAACGCAGCTGTTTCGTCCACACGTAAATGACGTTGGGAATCACCGAAAACGGAGATTGAAGATGAATTGCAGAATGGCAGATAGAGACAAAATACTGTTAATCTTACTGTCTGCAGGTTTTACACGCTTACATACACACGCAGTTACTGTCCCTCCATTTACAAAGGCAGAGGCGTCACGGTGTGATTATTTTACGTGTAGTTGTTTTTTTTTCTCCTGTGTAATAATATTCAACATTGCTATCAATGCATTTTTCAAAAGATGCCTCTCTGTGCAAAATAGGTTTAAAAACATAAACAGCTGTGGGATACTGTTTGTCCGTGATTTGAACCGAGGGAACAAATCGTGGCAGGATCTGCCTGATATTATTTGTATCCCACTGTAACTTTACTGTATAAAGTATAGTATAGTATGTATATCTCCAAAATGTCAGGAGTAGTTAGTCAATACAAGAAGTGTTTGTGAACTAAAAATCAAGAATGTGAGATACTGTTTGACCGTGATTTAAACAGCCCAGCGCTGCTCCCGACGAAGGGAAAACCAATTCTGCAGGGGAGACCTACCTCGGCACTTGTGCAGGTGAAACCAAAGGGAAGATATGCTTCACCATATTTTCTAGTCTTTGGCTTAGAATGAAGTTGGTTTGGAAACATATTCAGCTATGCTTCATCTCCTGCTTTGCGTTTCTGTAGGCGCCCCGTGCTCGCAGTGTCCAAGCGTTTTGTTTTTTTCCCCCCCTTGTCATCCCGCGCCCTCCCCCTGCCATGGCTCTGGCCACACTTTGGGAAGGTCTGGTTTAGGGGAAGGATACAGAAAGCTTTCTCAGAGCTTTAAGCTGTCTGTTTCCACAGTTAGGAACATATTGAGAAAATGGAAGACCAAAGGCTCAGTTCAAGTTAAGGCTCGAAGTGGCAGACCAAGAAAAATCTCAGATAGACAGAAGCGACGAATGGTGAGAACAGTCAGAGTTAACCCACAGATCAGCACCAAAGGCCTACAACATCATCTTGCAGGAGATGGGGTCACCGTGCATTGTTCAACCATTCGGCGCACTTTACACAAGGAGTTGCTGTATGCGAGAGTGGTGCAGAGGAAGCCTTTTCTCCACCCACAGCACAAACAGAGCCGCTTGAGGTATGCTAAACCAGCTTCATTCTGGCATAAGGTGCTGTGGACTGATGAAACTAAAATTGAGTTATTTGGGCATAACAAGGGGCGTTATGCATGGAGGAAAAAGAACACAGCATTCCAAAATAAAAACCACCTGCTACCTACAGTAAAATATGGTGGTGTGGCCAGTGCAGGGACTGGGAATCTTGTCAAAGTTGAGGGACACATGGATTCCACTCAGTATCAGCAGATTCTGGAGATCAATGTCCAGAAATCGGTGACAAAGCTGAAGCTGTGCCGGGGCTGGATCTTTCAATAAGACAACAACCTGAAACACTGCTCAAAATCCACTAAGGCATTCATGCAGAGGAACAAGTACAACGTTCTGGAATGGCCATCTCAGTCCCCAGACCTGAATATTTTTGAAAATCTGTGGTGTGAGTTAAAGAGAGCTGTCCATGCTCAGAAGCCATCAAACCTGAATGAACTAGAGATGTTTTGTAAAGAGGAATGGTCCAAAACACCTTCAACCACAATCCAGACTCTCATTGGAACCTACAGGAAGCGTTTAAAGGCTGTAATTTCTGCAAAAGGCAGATCTACTAAATATTGATTTTATTTTATTTTATTTTTTTTGTGGTGCCCAAATTTATGCACCTGCCTGATTTTGTTTAAACAATTATTGCACACTTTCTGTAAATCCAATAAACTTCATTTTACTTCTCAAATAACACTGTGTGTGTCTCCTATATGATATATTTAACTGACATTTTTTATTGTAACAACCAAAGATTTATACCGGCAAGTAATGACTATTAACAAACTTTTGCATCCCACTTATCAGTATACTTATAAATATATAAATACGGTGTATAAGGCAAAAATGATGTTTGTACAAAAAGCCAATATTTTTGTATTAACATCTTTATTTATTGTCAAGAGGCACTTAACCATCTTAGGCAAGCTTTCTTTTAATTTCTCTGTAGTTTTCAGGAATAGTTCTACAGGCTTCCTAAAGGACATTTTAAAAAAAACCCTCCTCTTTGGATTTTGACTGCCTTTTGTTCCATTCTCTGTTCAGATGATCCCATGTTGCTTAAATAATGTTCAGATCAAGGCTAAGCTGTAGCTGATAATCCATTTAGTGTTTTTCTGTCAGGTATACTTTTACTGCGCTGGCAGTGTGGTTTGGATCATTATCATAATGAAAACTCTGGCTGAAATGCAGACTCAACTCACAACAGAGCCTCCAACATGTTTTACAGTTGGCTATAGACATGTGAATTCATCATTCCATAGGACATTCAGTCTAGTTCTTGTGTAATTTAGCATTTCCTTCCTTAGGAGTATTTGGTGAACTGTAAATGGATGAACTGAATGGCCAGCTGTATCTCTCAGGTCCTGTGTCCAGGTTGTTGCCAATGCTCTTTGGGAATCACCCTGTTGGTGAAAATATATAATAATATTTAGATAATATAATATTTATTTTTGCCTAACTGTGTCATTGTTGGTGTTTTTTTTCTGAAAATTGGAGAAAATGCAGCTAACTTTCCAAGAAAACAAAAAACTTGAAAAAAGACCTTCAGAAAATCTGGAAAACTATTGCTGAAGACCATTTTAAAAACATTACAAGAAAATCTGGATCCATGGAAGCAAAACATAAAGAAGTGAGGTGTGGTTCAAGACTTTTGCACAACAGTGTACATTATGTTCCTTGACAGACATCTGTCTAAATCATCATCATTGTGGATGATTTGTTCCAGACCTGTGCTCAGAAAGTAATACTAGTTAAATTAATGTTTAATGTTTTCAGTGACTAATGAGCATCACTGGCTTCAGTAGAAAATAAATTAAACTTTATGAAACTAGCTGTGGAAACAGCTACTTATTCTATTCTTTTCTGGGGGGGGGGGGGGGTGTTTTTTTTTAAATATGAAGTAAAAATAATAGAAACAGTGAAATAGACGGGATAGGAGGACAGATAAGAAAAAACTTACACAAACTTGAGAAGAGAAGAGACCTCTCCCAGAATAGGTAATAGACAACCAAGATGGAGAGGACATATAAGCTTTACCTTCTATCACAGTGAATTTAATTACTTTCGATAGCTCATAAACTGAAAGATAATTGAAAATCTGTTTTTTAATTAATTTTTACTATTTTTTACTTTTATAACTGGCTCATGTACTGCGTAGATGTGGATGCTACTACTAAGTTTATACTATATTAGATATATTTACTGGATTTGTGGAGAAAGAGAACTGAGATAATACCAGCTGATATCAACAAAAAATGCTAAATGTAGGTTTTTTAGATGAATATCAGCCAGTCCAAATTCAAAAGCTCTTTATTATGTAATGTGAAAGGATTCAGTAATTATAAAGTAAGCTCAGCATACAAATAAAATCACGTATAACCTAATCTGACTAGTTTCTCACACATGAGACTTACCTATACCTAGTTACCTATAGCTCTACACTGCAATACAAGAGCAATATTGTTTCCAATTTTGCAGATCACTACGACAGCTTTAAAAGAAATATTGTATCACGTTTGTTTACAAGCCTTTTGAATGATTTAAAGAAAAACACACTGCATAATTTTATGCTTGAAATACTTTAAAGTCAAATTGAGTCTATTTTATCAACATAAAGGAGCTAATGTGTGTTAATTTAATTAGTTTAATTAGATAATTACCAACAAGTAAAAAGCTCTCCATTTGATCAAATGCTGTTAATGCAGAAAGCCACCGTTTTAAGACAAGCAGGATGAATTTTAATTCCAGTTTTCTTATTTTATGGTCATATTTTCTTTTTTTTCTTGCATTTTATTTCATGTTTGATCCATTTACAGAATATCAAATACTTGATATCTCTGTAGATGTGATTCTAAATTGTCTTTATGAATTGAGTTCCTTTTGTTTCTGCAGCAGGTTTAGTCAAATCAAAACAAGTAATTTGCGGATGGTTTTTGCTCAGTCTTTGCCGTATTGTCGCTATCTTATACCAAGCCTTGTTTGACTGTCAGCTGTCATTCTCTCATCATGCATGAATCTTGAACTGCCTACCATTCATTTGATCAAGTGCTTGTCGCATGGACAACAAACCTGAATCCAAGGCCAAATCTTTGAATCTGTGACTTGACCTTCTTGAACTACTCAGACTGCATCATTAAACATGATGAAGCAAACTGCAATACTGGTTTGTAATGTTGGATTCAGATGCAAGTGATAACCCAGTTTTTAGGACTCATGTAACATTTCTTTAATTAGTTTTATTCTAAATGCCGTTATTATTATATAGACAATTTCCTAAAAGGCCATTGTTTTTCTTATTTGATCTCTTCATTTGATATTTTGGTTGAGACTCAGTAGTTGTTGTGTGTATATTACAGACAAGGACATAGCAGCTGCCTGTTTTAATACGACAGTTACTATTTGTGTATTACTTCAGTGAAAGGCTACCTCTAGAAATAGCACTTAGAACGCAATCATACCTACGATTTCACTCTTGTTTTCACTATGTGCTGTCAATGAAATAGTTTATCAACTGCTACCAAACAAAAAAATCTATTGTTACATTTTTTTTTTCTTTCTTTCTTTCTGAAACTATGCTGTTGTCAGTTGATGCAAACATATGCCTTATTTTGTTTATGTATGTGAAGCATCCATAAATGTTTTGTACCCTGTTTTACCACTGTTCTCCCCCAAGTAGATTGCAACAAGGTGTGACCAGGTGGGGAACCCCCCATGCAACCCCAATCCACTTGCATCCTACTCCACCCCATTTTACCTTATACCTCATCCTAATACACCCTTTTAACCACCATTCTTTTTATGCTTAGATCAGCTTCATGTATAAATTATTAAACTCATGCTTCAGTGAAACAAATGTCTTTTTAAACATAACAGTAATGTGTCTGAGTGCCATCAACTAAAACCTGCCTGTACTTACCAAAACCCTTAACTACATTTCAATTAGCTGTACAGACATTTTTCATTGTTGTATTTTCTTGTATTTCAATCCCATAACATCAATTGAGTCCCAAATAACCCAACTAAGGTGCCTATAGATTGGAAATAATTTGTTTATCGCACATTGCTTTGAAGCTGATGGCTTGTTGTTTGCATACATTCCAGGCTCCAGGTGCTTAGTTATCCTGTGGAAGATATTACTACCTGGTCATATGTCAAACATTTATTTTTCACTCTTACTGGTTGACTCACCTGGAAGTTGAGAAACATTTATCTTGGGTCCCACACACTTCGCATTGCCAGCAGTTATTTCATCCATAGTCACTTGAAGTTGTAGATTTTCCTTTACTTTCCTGGTTGCCACGTCACTGTGAATCACTTCCAGTGTGTATGCAGTTGTAGGGATAACGTAATTTTATTTAAAAAAAAATCATGAATATAGAAAACATAGTTTAAGGCTCACGTGTTGATTTTTTTTCCCCATTTCAACCTGGGAACAAAATAGAAAACCTGTGAATGGTTTAGTTGTAAATGAATTGATAATGTTCTCACATTTGAATTTCATTTGGATAAAACTGTCAGTAGCGGATTCAAAGAAGCTAATTCAAAATGGACTTCTGCGCAGAGAAGGAATAGAAACAGTATGAAAATTTCAATTAAATTTTATTTACATAGCATGAAATCACAACTACAATTGCCTAAAGGCACTTTATATTGTAAGGCAAAGACCCTACAATGATAAAAAGAACATAGAGAAAATCCCAACAATCATATGACCCGGTATGAGCAAGTGCTTTGGCAACAGTAGAAAGGAAACCTCCCTTTTAACATGAAGAAACCTCCGGCAAGGCCAGGCTTAGGGAGGGACAGCCATCTGCCATGACCAATTGGGGTTGAGGGGAGGAAAACAGGACAAAGACACGCTGTGGTACAGAGCCAGAGATTAATAATAACTAATAATTAAATTGAGAACAGAGAATTGTATAAACACATAGTATAAGTGAAAAGGGTGACATTCAATGCATCATGGGAAAACACAAATAAGCCCACAGTCTGACAGCGAAGTTCTCTAATGAGGTGATATGGCACTAGAAGGTCACTTATAAGACCTGATTATTTAAGACTTTGTATGTGAAGAGCAGGATTTTAAATTCAGTTGCTGGATTTAACAGGGAGCCAATGAAGAAGCCAGTATGGGAGAAATACTCTTTCTCTTTCTAGTCCCTGTCAGTACTAGTCCCTGTCAGCCCAAAGCTGATAAACGCATAGACTGTTTTTTCAGCATCAGATGAGTATTTTGCTAAATGACCGTGACATATCTCCATGAAATGAAAGAATGCTACACATGTGTTTTGCCTTAGTGTCACCTCAAGTTGAATGCTTGCATAGATGCAGTTATCCCTTAGTTGATTCTTTGCCAGCTCCACTGCTAATACAGTAACTGCTAACATGAGTTAGCACGAGCTAACGCCTACATGCTCATATATATGTATATGGGAAAGCAGGTGGTAGAGAGCAGAAATAAGCACAGAGTGGGGATAAGTGACAAAACATGACTGATGATATTCAGTGAGTTACGCAAGTGTAGCAATTGTAGGGGGTACTGGGAATTCTGTAACAGCAACTGTATGCAGGCTACAGCAGCTCAAATGCCCAGTTTGAGATTTGACAATGAGATATGTAGAAGAAAATCAGTTAATTAATGAGCTGGGTAGTAGCAGTTTTAAACAGTGTGATCAGCTGATGTGCTGTGGTTAATTGACTGCTTTAATGTGCTTCACATTGGTCAGCTGACTTGGGTTAATGCATGCCTGGCAGACATTAACACAATGTTGTGTACACTGTTGGCTCTTTTAATAAGTCTATTTATTTTATTTTAGTTTATCGTAAGCCCGTGCATGCAGACCAGTACCTTTGACTCCCACCACACTCTGGAACACAAACATAGAGGAAATGTTTTCTGATGGTGTTGCAGAATCTTGATTACTCAAAGCCAGAAAGGAAAGAAAAGGAACACACATATGTAAAGAAAGCTCTTAAAAAATGCGGTTATCCCAACTGGGCTATCATCAGATCAATAACGATGCACAGTAACAATGGTCAGACATCAACATTGTCATCCTTTATGTCGCAGGTTTATCAGAGAAACTCAGGGAGAATCTTCTCCAAGCACGACATCCCAGTGCATGTCAAACCCAGCCACTACAAAAACTGGTTCATCCCAAGGACACAACTCCCAAACACAAACTAAACAACATAATAATAATAATAATAATAATAATAATAATAATAATACATTTTATTTAAATAGCGCCTTTCAAAGCACCCAAGGACACTGTACAACAGATAAAAACTGGAAATATACACAATGATAAGAATAGAAGATAAAAGTTAAAACATACAGAAATTTAAGAATAGGCAATTTTAAACAAATGAGTTTTAAGGGTGGACTTAAAAAGAGAGAATGAGCTAATATTTCTGAGGTCCGGGGGTAGGGAATTCCAAAGTCGAGGGGCAGAGCAACTAAAGGCCCTCCCTCCCATTGTGATCAGACGAGCAGAGGGAACAGAGAGAGAAAGAGAAGATGAAGATCTGAGGCAGCGGGATGGGAGCTTCATCTGTAATAAGTCAGAGAGGTACGGTGGAGAGAGAGAGTGAATAGCCTTGAACGTATACAGAATTATTTTAAAATGGATGCGAAATTTGACCGGGAGCCAGTGAAGTTGCTTCAGGATTGGGGAGATGTGGTGGGTAGAAGAAGTCCTAGTAATAATACGGGCAGCAGAGTTCTGGACACGTTGGAGCTTGTTGATAGATTTTTGTGTGAGGCCAAATAATAATGAGTTGCAGTAGTCAATTCTAGAGATAACAAGATTATGGATGAGAATGGCAGTGGCGTAAGGTGTGAGGAAGGGGCGGAGGCGATTAATGTTACGGAGTTGGAAATATGCTGCACGTGTAATATTATTGATATGCGAGTTATAGGATAATGTGCTATCGAGAATGACACCCAAGCTTTTCACAGAAGGAGAGATAGGGACCAGTGAGTTATTGATGGTGAGAGAGAAATTGTTAATTCTGGATAGCAGTCGTTTGGTGCCAACCAGAAGAAGTTCCGATTTATTGCTGTTGAGTTTAAGAAAGTTGGAGGAGAACCAAGAATTGAGTTCAGCTAGACAGAGGATAAGGGAGGGTGGAGGAAGAGTAGAGTCAGGTTTGGTAGAGAGATAGAGCTGGGTGTCATCGGCGTAGCAGTGGAACTGAATATTATATTTACGAAAAATATATCCGAGTGGAAGAAGGTAGATGATGGAATTAAACCTCACAGGTGTGCCATAGTGCATGCTGTGCAGTGCAGCAGTGGCGGAGCGGGGGGGGTTGGCTTAAGCCCGGGTTGTTTTTTCAGAAGCCCGGGGTCTTTTGGAGTGTAATTTTTTCATAGTTAGATGCCTGGCTGACAGCTGTATAAAACAAAAAACTACACACAATATTCGAAGCACATAGTGCACACTGTGGGAATTTACAACTGTGCGTGAATCCCCCCTAATATTGGTATGATCTGAGCTCAGGCACTCGCTGCAGCCTGCGAGTGCGCTGTTGGAGAAACAGAGCCAGACAGACAGAGGAGAAGTGAAGTTCGACCAGGTACCAAAGCAAATCATTCGTACTGTACAAATAATGTAAATATGACGGTGTATCATGAAAGATTGATATCAAACTGATCACTTGACCCATATTACATTACTTGCTCTTCAATTGAATTAACAAATAGCGAAATGAAAAGCCGAACAACAACAATGCTGTTTCTTTAGAGAGTCTTAGCTTACATGTGTGTCTATTTCATATTTTCAGTTGTTACCCTCCACGGCTAAATAAATCGGTTTCAGTAATGTACTGATACACAAGAATGGACGTAAGGGGCTTCTTTCAATGAGAAAAGAAAAAACAGAAGAACATTTTTTTACTGTACAACATCAATTTAGAGTAAACTTGTTTTGTTTTGGATAAATAAATATTGAAATATCTTTTGAATTAGTTAAATGTCAGAATAAAGAGAGACAGAGCTTTCTATTTTTTTATCACTTTCATCAAATTTAGGAGTACATGTAAACTAAGTTTATTGTTAATTAATAAGAAAACTCCAGACGATTCCATTCTGAGCTGAAGAAGCTTCTGAGAGGTTAGTAGAGTCCATGTGAGTAAATTGGCGGCACACCTGTGGATGCATATAAGGCAAAACACAGAGCCTGTTTCTTTGAAATGGGAAAATCAAGAAATGTCAACCAAAACACCAGGAAACGAATTGTGGAGCTCCATAAGTGTGGCTCAATTTTGAATACAATTTGGTGCCATTTGCAATTAAGAAATGCAGATAGTTTCTCTCTTTACTCTTAAAGTTAACAAATATGTTTTTTATATTTATTAATCTAAAAAAAATAAACATTTAGTCTGATTTGATGTTACAATTAAAAAAGTGTTTGTGTTTTCATCTGAAGAGTACGTAAATATCTGGTTTCAACTGTATATTTGATGATTGTCAGCACAAAGAGGGAGAGAGAGGAACAGAGAGGGATAGAGAGGAGAATGAGGACAGAACAGAGATGGAACAAGAGCAGGTGAGACACACGTTAGTCAAATGGTTGTTTACAAAAGAATCACCGTATCATAGGTACTCTTTTATCCCGTACCTAGTGTTTCTTTTTAGGTTTGTTATTTTTCAAGTTATATATTTATTAAGTTATGCAGGCTTGTTTGCACAAC